CAGTGTATTATTTGTTGAAACTGTACTTCCGATTTGATTTGAAACTGTCTCATTGCTATATGTTTATCAATAAAACTGTAGAAAAAAAATAAAATAAAATAAAATTAGGAACAAGACAAAGATGTCTGTTGTTGCCATTCCTATTCAGTACAGTTCTGGAAACATTAACCAGAGCAATCAGACAAGAGAGAGAAATAAAAGGAATTAGGATTGGAAAGGAAGAGGTGAAATTATCATTATTTGCAGATGACATGATACTCTACATAGAAGACCCCCAAAACACCACCAAGATATTTGAAGATTTAACAACCAAACTCAGTAATACAGCAGGATACAAAGTCAACATTCAAAAATCAATAGAATTTCTGTATACAAACAATAACTGAGAGAGAAATTAGGGAAAGCACGCCTTTCACGATAACATCCCCCAAAATGAAATACTTTGGAATAATCTAACAAAGGAAGTAAAAGAGTTATGCAGTAACTTTACAGTAAAATTACAGTACTCTGAAAACAGAGATCAAAGAAGATTTCAGAAAGTGAAGAGCTATTCCTTGCCCTTGGATAGGAAGAATCAACATTGTGAAAATGTTCATATTACCCAAATTGTTATACAGATTCAATTCAATCCTGATTAAAATGCCATTAGTATACCCCCACAAATCTAGAGAAAACAGTTCTGAAATTCATACGGAGCCAGAAGAGACCTAGAATAGCAAAAGCAAGCCTAGCAAACAAAGGAAAGGCAGAAGATATCACAATCCCTGACTTCTATTCTATAAAGCTACGGTGATAAAATCAGCATGGCACTGACAAAAAAAAAAAAAAAAACCAGCTGAGGATCAATGGAACACATTAGAAGATGCAGACACAACTACAAATACACTCAACCAGCTTTTATCTTTGACAAAAGGGTCAAATATGTTTACTGGAAGCTAGACCCTTTAATAAATAGTGCTGGAAAAACTGGCTTTCCACATGCCAAAGGCTAAAATTAGACCCATGTCTATCATAGTGTACTACACTGAAGTCAAAATGGTTCAAATATTTAAATATTGAAACAGGAACACTAAATCGACGGGAGGAGAAAGTAGGTAGAACTCTTGAAGACATACGGGTAGGCACAATGTTCACCAACAACAACAAAAAAACCAAACTGCACGGGAAATAATTCAAAGAATCAACGACTGGGATCTCTTCTTTCTGAAGTTTTTGCCCATCAAAAGAAATCCCCAACAGAGTAAAAAGAAAGGCCACACGGCGGCTCCCAAAGCACAGTAGCAAAGCACCATAGTTCTGAAGAGAACTCAGTGCCTAAAAGCAAAAGCTTTTACTACTTGGTTCTCTATAGAAAAGGACCTGCTGATGTACCGCAATTCATTCTAGTTCTGGGCACTCTATCACAGAGGGTTCCTGTTTGTGCTTTGTGGTTGACATTTCATTTCTGCAGTGGGGAGGAGACTTCATTCTTGATGGGAGGGAGGAATGAGGAGCAATCTCTCCCCTCCTGGGGCTTGGAGGGTTTACCTGGAGTCTAAGTAGATCCAGGCTTGCTGGGGTGTGGCCTGGAAGAGGAGAGAAAAGGCTCCTGGGAATCTACTGTCTCCTACATCGTCTATGCCTGGACCCATAGAAATGGCAGCATCAACGTGCTACCGCAGTTTCAGAAATCCCGAAGCTCTCCATGAGCCATTCATTCTTGAAAAACCCTGGGCTGCAGTGCTGAGGTGCTTTGGCTCAGGCCAGACAGGCATGGAGGAGCCCTAATTGCCTTGTGACTCTGAAGATCTCATGCTTTCTTCTGAAAAACAGGAACATCGGTGGCTTCCGCCAAGACAGCACCAGAAGTAGATGAGACGCACACGTGACGCAGCCTGGCGCCGCTCACGTGAGCAGAGTCCCACAGATGGTGGCTGTCACTCACAGGCTAGGCTGGCTGTTCCCATACTAGGAAGGATGTAATTGCAATTTCCTAACAAGTTTTTTAAGGCATTATTATTAATGTGCCTGGCAGTTCGTAGGCACTTAATAAATAGCAGCGATGAAAAGCTAGCCTGCAGATTATTACTTTATTCCTGGAGCACCTTTGAAATTTCCTTAATGAACTCTATGAGGAAAAACTTTATTTTATAAAGAAGCCTATCACATGTGTGTGTGTTTGTGTGTGTGTGTGTGTGTGTGCACGTGTGTGTGGTGTATAGGCATGAGTCTATAGCTGAAAACTTTCAGGAAAAAATACACAACCTGTCTACACACAACACACTTTGCTATTTTTCTATAGTTTTCAATCTGGGATCATAATCCATTAATATTGCAACCCACTAGCACTGGAGGCCCACAGTTTGAGGAGCATTTATCTGGGGGGCATCAAATTGGGGGATCCCGTCCTCATCATTCTGCAATTTTTTTTAAACATTTATTTATTTATTTATTTATTTAGTGTGTGTGTGTGTGTGTGGCCAGCTCAGCCCACCAGGGGGCGGGGCTGGCTGGCATGTGGTGCTGGGGGATTGAACCGTGGTCCTTGTGCTTTGCCAAGCTTGTTCCAAGTAGGTGCTTTAGACCACTGAGCCATCTCGCCAGCCCCTATTCTGCAATTTTGACACCCATATTTCAATGCCTTGAATCCTTCGTTGTATCTTTTAAAGCCAAATACGGTCTTGAACTTACTAAGAAACATTCATAATTTTCTAGCACAGAAGGAGAAACAAAAGCTCTCAGAAACTGTTTTTAAGTGGAATTGAATTTACATTTGCATAAAGCTGAAGAGAGTGGATTGTTCTGTCTTCCACAGGAAATTTCATAACGCAAATTACCAGAGACGATCTGGTGCCGGAATTATGTGCCTGCTGGAGCCCGGACTCTTCTGTGAGCTCTCCTCAGAGAGGCGGCATAGAGGAAAATGTGTAAGAAAAGAAGCCAGCTCTGGTCACTTCTGTCTCTGCTCTCCCCACATGGGGACAGCTGATGACCACGGCTAGTGGGCCGGGCATTCACCCAGTTTGCGAGCTTTCCTTACATCTCACTCAAACACAGTGCTCGATGTCCTTGACTTCTCTCTCTACCTGCAACTTCAAGTTTTGTGAATTTCTGCTTTTGCAGACAGAAACAGGGCTAGAACCCACTATTATCTGTGGGGTGTGTGTGTGTGTGTGTGTGTGTGTGTGTGTGTGTGTCCAAATCAGACTGCAAAGTTGTGTAGGAGTAGGAGGGGCTCCAGGGCCGCCTGGGTGCTGAGCCCACACTACTGCATCCCGCACAGCACAGCGAGCACAGCTCCCAGGGCCTCCTCTCAGTCCCCTGCAGCACATCCTTTCCCTTCGGCACCTGCACCCTGTTGTCCTCCGCCCCAGCTGGATTCCTAAACAGGCTCTTCATGCTCAACAGGGTGAAGGAAGCTGTTTGACTTTCAAGCAAAGCCTTTTTAAATTTAAATATCCTTCAATCATTATGCCTTAGATAAATACCACTGGGAAAAACACAAAATATGAGTGATAGAATAGTGAACCCCCCCCCCCTTTCTTTTTCTCCAATTGCTGGATTTCTCACCTTTTCTTCTACCAATTATCAAGTGAGGGAGATGTTTTTAAACTTCTGGAGAAAGGCTTCTGGATCAGGAGCTTGGGCTGCACTCATTGAAGCTGGAGCGTCCACGGCTGAGACTCCAAGTCCAGGTCAGGAGAACACACCACCCCCACGCGTGCCCCTGGCCACTGGGTGGCTCTCAGCCCTGAAAAGTGCTTTGCATTTCCTAAGCCGAGGGCTTCGTCTCAGGAAAATGAAGTTATCAACAAAGTATTAGAAGGTCATTGTGCAGAATTACATAAAATGAGTGAGCCCAGCAGGTCTCGGGCTGACTGAGCTGGGGTAAGGACACAATAAACACCATTGTGTTTTATTGCTGTTGTGTAGTGGTTGTTGTCATCATCGAAGTTCTCCCTTCAGCCTGGAAGGAACAAGACTCCAGCAGCAGAACAGGGCATGGCTTTACAGCCTGAATTTCCCATGAAGGGGCAGCCAGATTAAAGACTGGAAACCACATGAGGGTTCTCAGGATAAAAAGTGACTTCACATGTGCCCTATCAGCATCATCAAAGTCTCCCGATGAACTAGCCTGCGCCTCCAACTCAGGAGTTGACATGGCCTTTCCAGCACTCCCCGAAGATCAACCGCCAGTGACAGCAAGAAGGATGGAGCTGGCCCCTGAAAACTCCTCCCATGGAGGGAAGAGGCCCCACCATGTGGCCATCAGCAACAGGTAGCCTAAGGCTGCGGGATAGGACAGGGCTGTGGCCTGAGCCTCACATTACTTGGTGTTGCCCGCCCCAAATGCCCCAACACCACAGTGTGGCAGTACAGCATTGGGCATGCAAGTCCCAGCTCCCAGGAGGAGCCTGGCCGGGAACTCAGGAACTGGCCCAGCTTGAGGACCTTGCAAGGTCATCAGGTCTATGAAAAGATGGTCTCCCCGCTATGATGTTCATGGTGGACCCTGTGACAGGACCAGAAGAGACCCTGGCTGCTCCTTGCTACTCCTTCCTTCTGGAAACTATGCTCCAGGGAAACAAGGAGCAAGGGGGAATTCCCACCCTTCTCACAGCCTCAGGATCCTCCTAGGGCATGTTTTCACAGTGTAGATGTGAGTCTCAGTGTGGAGCAACCAGCCGCAGACACATGTCCTAACATTCCCCACTTTTCCCAGACTCCAAATGTTGGCTCTGGGCCCTAGAGAGCAAGGAGGCTGAGAACAGCAAAACAAGCCATTTTGCCTTGCTCCCGCCTCCTGTGATTTCCTGTCAGTTCTACAGCTGTTCCCCAGACAGGGTCACAAGCCACATGCTCACTTCTCTAAGGCTGAGAAAGACCCTGAGGATCACCCAGGCCCTCCTGCTGCCTGGGCTTGGGAACAGCACCCCATTTCCAAGACGCTCTGATGCACGGACACATCGGACATTCTCTAAACATCTGCCAGGCTCTCCCTGGGCTGAAGCTGCCCCAGAGCCCAGGGCTGGCACCCCTGCAGAATAAAAGGGAGCTCTCCTGCCTCACTACCAGCGTCAGTGGGCTCCATCAATGATCTGCACTTAGTAGCCTATGCTGCGAATGCTTCCATTGCCACATGTCACACAATCCACTGTCCCTGTCCCCAGGACCGGCCAGACCCCCATGTGGTGTGCAGTACCTGGAACATCACGGGATATAAAGGATGGAGGGGAAGATGGATCAAAGCTGTCTCCATAGTGCTAAGCCTCAACAATTAAGGCCTGGTCTCAGGTAGAATAAACTAAAAGGAGGACACTGATGACTCGGGGATGAGGAGAAAGCAGGTTTGTGGGCCCCTTGGGCATGGAGTCATAATAAAGGGCATTCGACCTTCCTCTGTGACCCAGACAGGATGACTCACATGGGGTCATGAAACCTGCTTCCCACGGCTTGATCTGTTGGGGAAGCTCCTAGTATCCCAGGTGGAAGAAGAGGAAGGATATCATACACGCTAGCGCTAAAATTATTTGATGCTTACATGCATGTAATAACATAATATCCCTCTCCATTTCCAGCAGAATCTCAAGGGATAGGGGAAATAGAAGTGATGGATGACAGGAGAAGTACTGATGCACTGCCTTCCTTGGTCATTCTTGAGTTCTGAACTGATCCCAGTCTTTAAGAACAGTTCTTTAGGGGGTTGTTTGTTTTGAGACAGGGTCTTGCTGTGCAGTTCAGGTTGGCCTTGTACTCACTTTTGTAGCCCTCAGGCTGGTCTTGAACCCACAGCAATCCCTGTGTCTCAACCTCCCTAGCGCTGGAGTTACAGGTGTGTGCCACCACACCCAGTTCTGGGACCTGCTTGGTGCACCCAAGGTTCCAGGGCAGCATGGCATGTGGGGCCAGGGATCGAACTTGGGACCTTGCACTTACAAGGTAGGTGCTCATGCCTCTGAGAAGTCTACCCAACCCCCAAAACAGTTTTAAAGCATCCCAAAATCTTTACTTATGCAGAACATCTTCAGTCCTATTAAGGGTCCCTTATACATGATAGTTTCCAAGCCCTCAATACTCACTGTCCTCTGAACATATTTTAGTTCACTCCTGTTCATCTACAAGTATAGTATCCTGAATACAAGAAAAGTTTCTAATACAGTCTAATCTGGTAAAAATTCAACAGACCTCTCACCACCTTATGTTGACCACATTTTATTTTCTTTAATGCAACCTAATTACTAATTGGAATTTTAGTAGTAGTAGGAAAGGCTTGTATTGCCTTTATTTTCAATTTAAGGTGTCTGACTTCTTCAAAGAAATGTATTTATTTACGCAGTTGTTTGGGTTGTTTTGGCTTCGAGTCTTTTTCTGACTAATCATAAGACTGTGCCTCAGTTAAGCTGTAGAGTGGGTTTCAGTTGCTTGCCTATCTAGTTCACTAAGATGACTTTGAAGCTAGATCCTTCCAAAGTTGCTCATCAGACCTCTTCTTGCCAATGTCCACTGACCATGGGAGACAGATGGGAGCTATGGGGCAACACAGGGTCATGTTGCTTCTCAGTGAGGCTTTCTCTCTCCAGGGTCACAGTGAGGCCCATGCTATATGCCCTGCTCCCATTCCCGCTGCTGAGACAATGCCTCTGACAGCTGAAACTTAAAGGAAAGGAGGGTTACTTGGGCTCACAGTTCAGTTTCCAGGGGTTCCGTCAATGGTCTGACAGCTTCAAGGCAGAAAAAGCGTAGTGCTACGGCCAGGTGGAGAGAGTACTCACCACACAGCTGTCAGCAAGGGAAGAGAAAGAGGAGCCAAGACAAGAAACACCCTTCCGAGTTGTGTGTCCAGGGACCTGGCTCTCCCAAGCAGGCCCCACGTCCTACCAGTGTCTTCAGCCAGGACCTTAGCAGTGGAAGAACCCCCTGGTGGGTAGAGCACCACATCATGGTCCAATCACCTTCCAAAACCCACACTTCTGAACACAGGAGACTCATAGAGAACAATGCTAATCTACGTCATCACACTTCATTAACGTAGAAAATAAACCGTTGCACAGTATAAGTTATCAGAAACACTTGTAAGCTGTATACACAATGCCAATTTAATGTCATTCCTTGAAGAAATACATAGGTACGAATTTCACCGTTAAGAAAATATGCATCTGTGCTATTAAATTGGAAGACAAAAATAATGAAATATTTGACTTACGGTTCCCAGTTGGATTCATGACGTAATATTCTAGCTGAGACCAAAGATGAAAGCTAAGGAAAGAGGTGAGACGTCATGAAACTGACACTGCTCAGAGGTTAAGGGGGGTGTCCCCACCGGTACCACAGCAGTCACTGCAACTTAGTGACACCATGAATGTTTTACAGTTGATAGGCACTTGAGGCTTGGCATAAGTACAGCACTAGAAAGGGGCCATTTAAAATAGCTTTTCCTTTTTACAGTGATGACTGCCACTGAGCATAAGCTCAGGAACCGGCGTAATTGTGTGACTTATGCAAGCCTGAGTTTAAGAGGGTAGAGGGAAACCTTGCAAACCTGTTAATAATCACCTAATACAGTTTTAAAAAGTGAGCCAATTGAGTTTACTCCTGGCTGTGGATGCCTAAGGGAAAATCAGAGATCTTCAGATAAACAATCTCCAGTCTCACCCGTCCTTCACCTCCCCAGCCTCCAGGGAAGAACAGGAGGGAGAAAGGGAAGGAGGGAGAGTTGAAGGGAGGGAGCGAGGGAGCCCCGTCACAGTCCAGGACTGGGCATGCTGGGCCAGATGAGGATCTCAGCCTCGCTCTCACCTGTCTGCCCTGGTTGGTGGCCCTGGGGGAAGCTCCTGTCCCTGCCAGGACAGGAGAGGCCACTGCTGGGAGAGGAAAACTAAGAACATAGGGAGTAATGCAAGAAGGGGGCCAAGGCTAAGTGTGAACCTGCTCAGGGCCATGATGCTCCTGTTGACATCTTGGGCTCACTAGCTGGATGTGGCTCGAATATTTCAAGCTCATGACAGGGCTGTCACCCTGCAGAGAATGATTACCCAGAGTACCCAGGACTGTGAGGTGCCCGGAACAGGACATTCAGAGCCAGTGCTCAGGAAGCCCAGTCAAGCAGAGAAGAGTTGGTCACACAACTGGAGAGCGGGATGGCAGGGACTCATCCAGGTCACCATGTCCCCTCCCCTAATTCTCCCTCAAATCCAAACTGCTATGGGAAAACAAACAAACACAAACAATGAAACACCCGTTCCTAATTTACTTAGATCAGAGTGCAGGCCGCAGATTCCGACCCCTTCCTGTGGAATCTTCAGGGTATGCGGGGCCTGTGGCTAGTTACCAGCTGCGACCAAGGAGTTGTGTAACAGGAAGGGTGGGAATGCAGACTCTGGCTGCCTGCGTGTGCCCTGCAGAACCATAAAGTAGAAGTGAGCCCAGAGCCACCTCCCTGGTTCAAGAATTAAGTTCTATTTTAAGCAGCTCGCAGCACTGCCACTGAGGGTGCAGGCATGCACACACACACACACACACCCCACGCCACACCTGTTGTCACTTCTGTCTGTCCTGCTCCTGCAGGTCCCCACGCACTGTTTATCTTCTGTCTACAGCACTGTCTGGGTGAATGCTTTCTGTGAGCCTGAGCCTGTTCTAGGTACAGGCAGACTGGGTGAAAGGACGGTTTCAGCCCTGCAGCGCTCACTTGCAATCACGTGGTGTGAAGGAGGAAGGAGAAGGGATTAAGGAGTGACTTGCCCAGGACCTGAGCAGGGATATGACCTTGTCTTCAGAACCAAAAGACAGACGCCTCCATCGAGCTCTGGGGAGAAGGTGTGGGTCAGAAGATGGGGAGGGACTGTTTGGGTTCAGGGCATGAGAACGAAAAGCACTTCCACACAGTGTGGAAACTTGAAGGTTTGAGGCCTGTGAGCACCAACCTGACTGACCTGAGCTCGGGGCGGACCTGGCTGGCTCTGTCCTCCCCTCGCCTTTAGGGACAGCTCTCTGGTTCCTCCCAGGTCTTCCTGCCACACTGCCCCCGAGCAGGTGCCCTGGAGCAAAAGTATGCCTTGTGGCTGTCTGGTTGATGTGCCAGGCTCCAGGACACAGCTTTTCAGGAAGATGCCAACCCTCCACTCTTCTGTCCTACTATGGGCTGAGATAGGTAGATGGGGACAATGGTACTATGCAAACCTGTTCAAGATCCTAGAGGTAAAACTCATAGAACCATGGGGCCCCTGTGGCGGGGTCCTCCTAGAATTTCCTCTCTATGAACTGCCCTCACCAGTTCATGGATTTCCATTTAGCTCCTGCCCGGTCCTGGCTCCTGCAGAGGGTCCTGCTACAGCAGCCATGCCAGTCTTTTGCCTGTCTGTCTCTGCAGTCACTCTGGGACCTCTTTCCCCTCAGGGAGTTGAGGGGAGCTACTGATTTGTTAAACTTATTGCTGGTTATTGGATAGAAGGATGATGCCCAAGCTCCCCACAAACTGGCCCAGAAACCAAAGTCCGATCAATTGCTGCTGGTGCCCTACATCACCTGGACTTGTGTCCAGCCTGTTGGACATGATGGTCACAAGCTTAGAGACAGCTGTTCCACCATTCAATCCACATGATCCTTGGGTCCTAGTGAAGAAGGTGGGGAGCAGAGGTTAGTGTACCTGGCGTTCCGGGAGGCCTCGCACCACCTGTTCTGTTGTTGTTTTTAATGCCCTCTTAATTATAGCCTTAAATTACAGCTCTCCAGCCAGTTTCATTTAGTAGGAGCTTGTGGACAAATTCAAATGAGTTGTCTTTATACGTAAGACCCGTACAGAGCACCTGCTCTTGAAATAGCCTCCACCCTGCCGCATTATTTATTCTCCTCTGAGGCTCGCTGGCTTCTCTGTGGACCCTAAATCTTTATGGATACAAATTACTAGGGAGGCCTCCTGGAGTCTTGGTATATCCAAGCCCAGTGGTGGGGATTTTATAGGCATCAATTAGATTGAGGTTGTTGCTCAAATTAAGTGCTTAGAAACAGAGTTTTAATAAGCAGGTCCTGCTGGAGAAAACGTTGACCATCACTAAATCGTCTCAACGGCCTGTACACTGCTCATTGTTATTATCTCCATTTTATAGACGAGAAGATGGAGCTTAATCAGTTTCCTGGGCATCTAAGCGGAACAGCCTGATGTGAGACCCACACACTCTTAATTATTGCATTTGTGGCTGATTTGTTAGACATCCGTTCAAGCTTTTGGCAAGACAGACAAATAGCTGACCCTTTCATTTCTCTCCGTGTTTCCAAAATCGATGACAGAAACAAAGATAGAAAGAATATGCAAAGCAGAGACAAAGAAGGACTTTTAGAATCTTGTCACAAATAATAGAAGTTTGCTTCGAAGGGTTTGGCATTTGGGTTGGAGTCGTACACAGAATAGGGGGGAAAGAGGACAGAGAAGGACTTTGCTGCAAATGTAAGACAGCCCAGGGCCCAGCCAGGACATTCAGCAAGCTCAGGGTAGGCAGTCAGATCTGAGGAGTTAATAATGCTTGCCTCAGACCCAATGGCTGACACATCTTTCAAAAAAAGCACACATATAAAAATAGAAGTCCTTTCTAAGCATTCCAGGGAAATTCTTCAACTCATCAAAAGCTGCTTGAACAGAAAAGGGTCAAGGTAGACACAGTCCCCAACAGGACCTCAGTGGGGACCTCCCTGCACAGAGAGGAAGGGGCTAAAGGTCCTGCGAGCTCTGGAACCTCAGGAAGAGTAAGAAACTCCAGGAAAGGAGCTGGGCGTGACCTGCCTACCCTGCCCAGGAAGATTCCAAGGTCAAGGGGAGTGATACCAACTATCATTCAAATACAGAAAGTGGAACACAGAACTAAGCCTGGTGAAAACATGTAACTCCTAGTGGATATCGGCTGAGAAGGGAGAGCCTTTCTCTCCAAAGCTGCTGGGAGCGGTAGGTAAGGGGAAGTTCTGGCTGGGTCCTTCAGTGGTCCTCTCGCCAGGGCTCTGTGGAGATGTGCATGTTCTATATGGGCAACACGTGAATTTGTAGGCTTATTGGTACTACTTCTAGGCCCACTGGAACTATCTTTAGGCAGAATGTGGATAGCAATGTGTCCCTCCCTAGATCCCTCCGGACCCCTTGCGATGGGATGCCAATTGCTGTGTAGCTCCGTGGGCTTCACAAAATGTCTTTTCCTTTTGCTGTGATCACAACTCTCAACAGAGCGGGAATGGCTGTGGAGAACCCCAAAGGAGATGAAGTGGCCTCTGGTAAGTCTTGGCTTTGCCTCAACAGAACCACAACTGCAAGAGGAAAAGAGAAAGGGGAATGTGAGGAAGGAACCTCGGGGAAGGGAAGGCATCGGCCCCTGACAAGCTGTGGGGAAGGGGGGAAGCCTCAGTTTTTCTCTTTCTCCATTAACGGCCCTAGGTATTAAGAAACAGCTGGGCGGCCACAGGCACAAAGTTACCCAAACTGCCACTGGTACAGGAGACAGCAAGGGCTGAGGTGAGATTTTCCTTTCCTTATTGGTGCTTCACATGCATGGAGCGAAGGGGCACAAGCCATTCGCTACAGTGCCAGCCACTGGGCAGAGGGTGGCGAGGGGAAAAACGCTGCAGGCAGCCTACGCCCGCTTTGGGGATTGGGAAGGGGTGAGGACAAACTGCCAATATCTGGCCAGTGAGTAGATAATCTTTTTCCAAATAAATTACTGGGTGTTGTTTTCAAAGCGCACAGCAGGGAGTTTGATCTGCCGCCAGGCAAATCACACGGAGATGCGCACCTCCCCGGAAAGCCCACCTCTCCTCCCGCCTGTAGCCACTACTAGCAGGGTGGTCTGCAGTGCCTGCTGAGCTTCCTTATAGGCAAGCAATCCTGCACAGGTGCGACACGTGGAGGTCTCCTTCTTTATTCCACATCCAGTCCGTCAAGAAGTCCTAGTGGCCATACTCGGAATCCGATCCAGGTTATTACAAAACCCTTCTACGTGATCTTCCCACGGCCTGTGCCCCACTCGGCCTCCTCCAGCGCATCAT